GATTCAACATAAAAAAATCTTTTTTCGTAACAGATTTAATGTTTAAATCATAAAGCTTAGAAAAATTTGCAGTTTGAGAAAAAAAAAAATTAAATAGAATACAGCAACATCAGTTTTTTGCTGTGCATCATTTAATAATGTATTCAATTGTGAAAAATATAATAACATAATTGATATTGATTGCTGTAAAGTCATGCGAAAATTTAATTTCTTTATTTAATTAAATAAAAATGCAATGCAGTTAAACAAATTGAATATAATATATATATATATATATAATTTTCGGATATATATATTTAAATAAATATATATACATTTCAAAATGAGGATATATATGATTCTGCTAAGATATCAATTTAATCAATTTTTCCTATATATATATATAAATGTTATATATATTTTTTATTCATATCTATATATATATATTGTGTAAAAATATATATATGATAAAAAACCTTTAATATTTGCCAATGAATTCAAATGGCATAACAACATTTTAAATCAATTTTATATATTTATAACCTATAAATATAAAATTTCTCATCGATCCATAAATTAGTTGATATTCTAAAAATGAACAAAAAATCAAGCAGGAATCCCCATCAATCCTATTAAATCTGTTCAAAAGAATAATTTATAATGAATTCCCTCTATATATTTTATTTTAAACGCACATTGTCAGTACATTTCCAAATGGCTATTCCTTTTTTTATCATTGAGCCAATATCATTAATTTGTATTTCACTTAAAATTTTCATATTTAATCTGTTTATATAATTTTTTAATGCATCATTTGAATACTCTTTCTATAATGGTTTCAAATCAACAAATTTTTCCAATCTACATATCTTCCACAACCAGATATATATATATATATATATATCCTATTTATATATATATAAATATATATATATATATATAAATGCAAAAAAAAAAAAAAAACAAAACATTTTTTTTTTCCTCTGAAACACTTTATCAAAAATTAATGTGGATAATTTATTTTTTAATAAATATTCCAAAACAAATTAAACATTATTTGAATTTATTTTTTTCAGCTAAGAAAAATTAATCGTAAATATTTTATCACATTAACGGATATTTCTTGATATAAAAATATGGAATAATACCTTTTCTATATATATATATATATATATATATGGATATATATATAATATATATATATAAAATGATATAAAGTTATCCTTTTTTTTTTCTACAAAAAGTTCCAAAATAAATATATTATCAAATTAGATAAGTAAATAAACATTATTACAAAGAAAATAAATTTTTATAACCACATTTTATGATTTTAAATATTTGTATGATGAAAAAATATTATTTATCATAATAATAGTAATTATTTTTGGGGATATTCATTTTTTAAATATTATATATTGGTATATATAATATATATATATATATATAAAAAAAATTTCTGTCAATAATTAATGTGTTTCATTTATACTAATTTCTTTAAAAGACGTCACAATATTTTAGCAATTTATTTTTTGCTTTTTGTTTATTTTATTTTTTTAATTGTGTTCAAACTAGTTGTTTTCTCTTTTGGAAAATAAATTTAAAATTTAGATACAATTTGTTTATAAATTTTTAAATCCATTTAAAATTATTTTCTCCATATTTCTAACATTTGAAAAATTGTTTTTTGAAAATCCATTATTTTAAAAAATATAAAAATATATATCAAACTGTTTAATATTAAAAAAGAAAAACATTTTTTTTTACTAATATTATAATTACGAAAATTGATAAAATTTTTACATTTCGAAAAAATATTTTTATATAACTCAATTTTAACTATACAATCTATTCAATATTTAAGAAAAAATTAAATTAAAGTTTATCCTGAAAATTAAAATTTATATTTTAAATGAAAAGTTTAATTTTCATTTTTTGGACAATCACCATATTTTGAAAATTTAAAAAAATGAATTTTCTTTATACACAAAAAAGTTTCATTAAATAAAAAGTCCTAATCCCTATAAAATTTTAAAAATGTCATTTTTTGATAATGCGTAAAATTGATAAATAACGGTTTTATCTAAAAATAAATTATATATTTTTTATGGATATTTACCCAATAAGGCTATATAATATAATTTATTAAACACAATAAAAAACATTTGACAAGAAATATATAAATTTAAAAATTTTTTGAAAAGATGAATTAAATGAGAATTTGTGAAAGGCATCTGAACATTCGATTTACAAATTTGAATAGCTGGAGATTTTAATATCAATCAAAAACAAGAAAATCCCTATATATTTTTTCCAATAATAAAATTTTTAGATTAAATTTGTTGGGAAATAAAATTAACGGCTAACTTTAAAGAAATCAAATAAATTTAAATTCTTTTGCCAAAAAGATGATTTTTTTAAATTCCTAATATCTAATAACCAACGAAAACAGCTCATCAAACATAGACAGTTGAACGTATTTATTTCCAAGAAGCAGAGTAGCGACATCCATTTTTGTATGTCAATAAAAGACTGCAAACGATATTAATGCCAGATCAGGGCCAATTACAAATTCATATCTGTCTTTGGATTTTATCAGGAGATTTCTTTTGGTATATGGCATAATGATTCTTTCAATCTCTTGATAATGGAACAAAAAATACTCTAAGATAGGCTCATTTTCCAGAGCATTTGAGCAATTTTAAAAACTTATGTCCAGTAAAAACATTAAATAGCAATTATGCATGAATACATATTATACATTCAGGGATTATAAATCTATTTGTTTTTGAATTTTAACAAATTTTTTGATTTCTATTCAATCAATGTTTTAACAAATGAAACAAATCTATAAATTTCAACTAATTCTGTTTCTAAGTTTAACCTTTCTTTTATAATTAATTCATTCCCTTTTTTTTATTAATCTAAATTTTGGGGTTGCTTTTATATATATTTTTGTATATTCATTATTAATAAAATGTATATTACAACATATTTGCTGAACCCCCATCAATTTAATTTTTTCCATATTTCATAAAAATTTATGTTTATTCCATAAGATCAATAGTTTATATATTGGCGTAATAAAATCATTATATTTAATAAATTTATTTAAATGCAATTTGAAAAATGGGTTCCAGATTAAATAACGCAAAAATATTTTAAAATATCCAGAGATACAGAAAATTTTAATGTTTTTTAATTCTGTTGAAAGATTTATTTAAATTTTATTATCTACATATTTTAAATTGACAATATATAAAATAATAAACTTAAAAATTATTATATATTATATCTTTATCTATCTATTTTTTATTTGTTTATAACATTCATTCTTTTATCTATATATATATATATATTGTATATATTGTGTGTATATATTTTTCTTGTGAATTTATATATATTAAATTTATTCAATTATTTCCTTTAACTTGATTTTTTAATTTTTTATTTAACAGAAAATCATTTCAAATCAAATTTTTTGCTATCCATTAACATTTTTCATTGAAAATAAATAAATCCATAATTAAATAAAAAAAAATCAAACAATATTATCAATACATTATTATATAAAATATGAATTATAAAAAATTTATTTATCATTTATTTGTATATGACGATTTATATATAAAAATATATATATATATATATATATATATATATATATATATATATATATATATATATATATATATATATATATATATATATATATATATATATGTTATAAATTCATGAATCATTCATACAAAAAAAAAATATACAGGTTAATGATTTAAATGGCGAGAATACATCTTCGCAAACAATATAAATAAGATACATTTACCCCGAACCTGTATATGAATGATATGATCCCTGTTTATAAATTCCAGTTGCATAAGGTCTTTTTAATTTTATAAGCTTTCGTCTGTTCCTACAGACATCCTCAGGTATGGAAATAGATTTTGTTCTTGTTTTTTTTTTCTCAGTAATAAGAGGACAACGAAAATAGAGATGTAATCCGAAAAAATGCTATGAAAATGTGTTATTGTTTTGGAAACGTGCGGTCGCAACGCTGAGTTTGAATTTTAAATTTTAAGGTTGTGCGTTTTTTGTACAAATATAGTAATAAGAGAATTCTTTTTTTTTTGCTGGTAGATTTTCCGTCAATGTGGCATGAACTATATTGTTCAATAATTACAGTAATGTCACATTATTATCCGAAAGTTGCACGTTGGATCAGTTATTTTAATTTCAATTAAAGGTTATATATTTAATTTATAAATTCATGAATCATTCATATAAAAAATAAAAGATTTATAATTTCCATCCCTATATATATAAATAACAATGTTCATACATAAAAACTAAAAAAGACCTTATGCAACTGGAATTTATAAACAGGGATCATATCATTCATATACAGGTTCGGGGTTGATGTATCTTATTTATATTGTTTGCGAAGATGTATTCTCGCCATTTAAATCATTAACCTCTATATTTTTGTTTTTGTATGAATTCATTCATGATTCGTTGTTCTTTCAATATTTTTATTTTAACAGACCATATAACGTTTTTTGACAGGAAAAAAAAAACAAAAATACCTCAACATGTTTAGGATGGTCTATTTCAATGCCGTTCTGTCATAAAGCTTGGATCAGCCTAAGTGTCTGTCTACAAAGAACATTATTACATTCATTTTGTTTTCTGTCTTCCTCTGGTAGTCGCCTTGTTAATGTAGATGGGCTCCCTATTGATTGACTGGTGGGGATTTTTTCAGATTCCGGGGTGGGGATCAAAGAAATTTGAAATATTTATGCCTAGAAAAAATCGTTGTTTATATATATATATATATATATATATATATATATATATTGTTTGTTTGTGTGCAATTTAAACGTTATCTGGATTTTCGTATTTGTTTAGATAATTCGAATCAAAATATTTGACACTTTATTTTTTTTTACTTTATTTACCTTCACCCACAGGACTGAACATCCGGGCGAAAAAAACCGTACAGTGAAAATAAATATCTGTCATTAAAGACACACATTAATAAACGTCTTTTCCAAATATCTATCTAATAATCTATCTATCCATATTTATCTATCTATCTATCTATCTATCTATCTAAAACATCTCATTCTGTTTATAAAAAATCATATTTATCTATCTAAATATCTATCTATTATCTTCTAAGAATCTATCTCAGTTTGTTTTATATCCATCTATCTCAGTCAGTTCATATGTAATTATATATATGTTTCATCTATTATCTATCTATCTATTTATCTATTATATTTATCTATTTATATATCTTTCTATATAGATTCTGTTCGAGACTTATCTATCTATCTACCTAAAAGGTCTGTGTTTTTTATATCTATCTATCTATCTATCTATCTGATCTATTTTCAGTCTATTGGACTGAAAATGTATGTATGCATGTATCTATCTATATATCTCTCTATCTCTCTCCTCTATCTATCTATCTATCTATCTGAATATATATCTATCTATCTCATCTATCTGGTCTTTTCATATCTATCTATTTTCTATCTATCTATCTATCTATCTATGAATTTCTTTAATTCTTTATCATTAAATCTTTTAATTAGGATTGAAAACATCAAGAACATCTTCTATAAAACTATCTATCTATCTTCAAATTTTTTATGCATCTAGCTGCACTTCCTCGCTATTAGAGCCTTTCAAAAATCGAATTTTTCGCCCTGAAAAAAGTGGCCTTGTCGATCGAATACCTGTATCAGCTTTTTTGCCTTGTTTGCATATATCAATTCGCAAAATCTGGACAAAAAATGGAATTCTTTTAAAATGCTGGGATGAAATTTCAGGAATCGAGAACGTAATTTATTGCGGTGTAAATACTAAAACATTAATCTTAAAATGTTTTATTTTGCCCCAACCGGGAATTAAACTGGGTTTCTCTCTTTCCCCCCCCAGTTCACGTTTTCCATGAAGGCCTCACATTACAAACACACAATACACACACAAAAGGAACACACACACACACACACAAACAGACTGATGGGCATATATATAATTAATTTCATATCTATCTGTCTATTTATACTTATCTTACTTTGTTCCTATATCTATTCCTTATTTTTTCAGGTCATTTTCATTATCTATCTATCTATCTATCTATCTATCTATCTATCTTGATCTATCAAATCCACATACATTCTATCACACACATAGATATATTTATATATGGTACATGATACTAATCTATCTCAGTGCCTTCCTATCTATCTATCTATCTATCTATCTATCTATCTATCTATCTATCTATCTCAGTCTGTTCATTATCTGTGTGCACACACACATATCTATATTACAATATACCTATCTATGTCTGTGCTTCTATCTATCTATCTATCTATCTATCTATCTATCTATCTCATATTTTTGAATCTCAGTTTCAATATCTATCTATTTGATAGCACATATCTATATTAAATAAGCACTATCTATGTCTGTGAATTCAAACAAAAAGACATCTATCTAAATATCCATCTATATTGTATCTTTCTAGTTCTCCATTTGAGCTTGCATGAAAAAATGTCATATTTTTTCTTTTTTATTAAATATCTTCTAACAAAATCTCACATTTAAAGAAATGTTATTTTATTCTGTAATAAATTTTCACTGTCGACCATTAAATTGGGTTATCTTTTTTAATTGTTCGCCATATAAAACAAACTCAGTTAAAATACACTAGTTAATAGAGAAAATATGGCACTAGGCCAAAATTAGGAATGGGTGACAGAACGGTCTTCTGTCTTGACGTTAAACTTAGCCAGCCACAAACACTGATTCAAATATATCTCCACCCATTGAACCCTCCTACGTAACAGGTGGTGGCTCTTCGGACCAACATCTGTCCTGAAATTTAATTTTATGGATACCACATCCTTTAGAATTCATCAAATTATCCTTCAATAATCCTTTAAAACATGTGGCAAAAATGGATCACGAAAAATGATGTTCTCCTCCACACCAAAGATGGAAGCCTTGTATCTCTATCTTGACTCATTCACACAAACTTCAATGGGCCGGAACAAATTACAATTCTGACTACTATTTACAAAAAAACAAATCCAATTCTCCATTTTCGCATCTGGCAATAGATCACGTAAGACCCAATGTTTTTTATAATCAGCTCATAAACAATACAATTGATTCATTTTATAAATTCGATCTGGTCAATTACATATATTTATTAAAAAAAACAAAATTGGAAAAATGTTTTTTCGTAAAACCTGTAAACGCCAAAGAATCCTTTACCCTATGTTTTTGCATATTTATTTATAAATTATTTAAAATCTTTCAGAAAGGCCAAAAATTAATGAGGACAAAGGACGTTATTTTTCTGTCTTTCACATCTTAGCTTTAACAAACTTGACCCATTTATATCAAAATTATTCCTGTTCTACTAAACAACGCATTCTTACCTACCTTTTCTCACTGCATTCAAATGCAGATTTCCCATTGTCTCTTAAGATTTCCTAACAAGTCCCAAAATTAGTTCAATTCAATGTCTGTTTTTGTTAAAATTTTTAATTTATAAATACCAAACCATAATGCAAATTTTTAAACTTTCAAAAAAATATTTACAAAAAATTTAAACAAAACAATGTTTCAACCAAACAATCTTCAAACCCCCCCAGGACATCAGTTCATTGGATGAATGCATTTATTTTTTTAAAATCGCAATCATTCATTCAATTTCCCCAACCGGAAGTTAAACACATAAATATCCAAACACGATGGAATAAAAAATACTCAAATCATGATAGTTCTTAAGGTTACAGCTAGCCATTCACCAGTCAAAGCTCAGACCTCTCCAATGGAATTGATGGGACTGTTTTCTAACTAACAAAACAAATTTTTAAGGCAATGAAAAAACATAGCGGAAAGCGATATTTATTGTAATTATTTTCAAAATGTGGCAAAAGGCCAAAAATTGAATTTGGGGGAAAGGACGGTCTTGTTCTGTTTTAACTATAAAACTTAGCTAGCCACAAACACTGACCCAAACATACCAAAATTCCTTTATACCAAACAACACATTCTTACTTACCTTTCTTATACATTCACCATAATACCTCATTGTCTCTATGAAAATCCTAACTAGTCCCCATATGTACAATTCATTGTCTGTTGGGGGATAAAAAACAACAATTTAAAAAATTATCCCAATGAGTATTTACAAATATGAATACAAAACTATTTACAAGAAACTAAACAAAATAATGTTAGTAATAAAACCCCCCAAAATCATTAAATGTGGCAGAAATATCAGTTAACTGGCACAAAAATCAATGCGGGACTATAATAATATAAAACATTCATTCATCCCAAATCTCAAATACATTCACTCATTCAGACACAACAACAAATACGAAAATTTACAAATTGTACGAAAAAACCCTCCGCATCCACAGTAAACTGACATCACTGATCATTTTACAATTCAACTTTGGGTTTTAAATAAAAAAAAATTCATGACAGAAATAAAAAGGGGCCAATAGCAAATAACTGTCATTTTATTATTTATAGAAAAGACAGAAATTCATTATCATTCCCATCTTGGGATTATTTTCAAACGAGAACACTTCAAACCAGAAAGGTTCTCAAACATTTGAATCCTTCCCTATTATTGCATTTATAAACGACATAAATAAGGATGTTCATTCTAATAGCAAAATTTTGTTTAACTTTAAGCAATGTTTATGTCATTGTATAGAACAAAAAAAACCTCGGTACAAAATGACGCATTACCATTTCATGTGAATATGTGAAGCTTGTGTGTGTGCAAATTTTCTCTTAATAGAGGAATAAAAAAATATAAAAATGTTCATCAATAAAAAAATATAAAAAAATGGAGATTTTTTCAATCAAAACGGATTCGTTCCAAATAAAAAATTGTCTCAAGATTTCAAATAATTGAGAAAAAAAAACATCAAAAAATAAGGAGAGGATTTCAAAAGTTAAAAAAATGGAAAGAATCTAAAAGATGAAAAATGGAGTTTATACTTATCAAATCTTCCTTTTTCTGTAAATCAAAAATGGAGCAAAGAAAAAAAAAAAAATGGAAAATTTAACTCATCAAAATATGGAGAAAGAAATTCCAAAAATGGATTTTTACATTTTTACATCAAAATATAGAATAAGATAATTCAAAAAAAGGGAAAACAGTTTTAAAATAAAAAATGAGAGTTTTCTTAAAAAATCAAAAATGGAGCAAGTAACATCAAAAATATGAAGTACAAGGAAAAATCATTTAAAAAGAAACAAGAAAATCATAAATATGGATATAAACCATCAAAAATGGATAACTGGAATAAAAAATGGAGAGCAAGACTCATCAAAAATAAATGGATGCAATGAATAACAAAAAAAATGGAGCACAGGTGACATACATCAAAACATATGGAACCAAGATAACTCAAAAATTTGGAGATGCATGAAAAAATGTAAAATATGGAAACGAAAAAAAAATTGGAAAGGTTTAGAGCAAGAAAATTAGATAAAAATCTTATAACAAACAAAAAAAACCAGGAAGAAAAATATCAAAAAATATGGCTTAAAAAGAAAAAAAGCAAAATTGAGATACCTAAAAAAAAAAAATTGGATTTGATAAAAAAAAAAAATGGAGATAAGCTCCTGAAAATCAAAAATGGAACCCGAAAAAATTGAAAACTTTTTAAGCCAATTCGTTTTTTTCCTTCTCGATAGCAGAATCTTTAACGTACTTCCCTAAAAAATGGAGCATAGGTCGTTCTTGAACAAACTTTTTGTAACAACATTCAACACCATTTACATTAGCATTTCCCATTATCAAAAGAAACAGTGAGACTGTTAATAAATTTAATTTTTTTTTTTGAAAAACCGAGCAGGGAGTCATCTTCTAATAATTTAATTTATCAACAAAATAAAGCCAAACATCATTTTCTGTCAACTTCTAACTGTATCTATCAAAAGGCCCGATTGCATTTTATAAAGGTTCAAATAGCCAAGGTAAACGGGAATATATGTTCTTAAATTTTTATCTTTTTCTGTCAAAATAAAAGTCAATTGACTTTTTCTTATTCGAACTTTCTCTACTATTCTTAATGCAAAAAACTGCAGATAGCATTATTTGCACCATTCAAATCCTCAAGCTAAACCTCAAATTCTATATTAATATACATAATTATACTTATAAAATAAAGGTTCGTTCAAGTCATTTTACAGATTTTAAGGAGTACCCCTACAAAAAATTTCGATTGTTTTGTCAATAGTTTCAAATATACCAAAACCAGGTATTGGCATCATTAAAAACAAATTTATTCATAAAAATAAAGCAGAATCCATCTTTATGCAATTTCTATGGAAACTCTACGAAAACATCTATGACATTAGGGTAAGGGTTCAAATAAGCTGAGATAAAATAGTCAACACGTTTATAAACAGCGTTTTTCTTTCAAATGAGATCACCGATCCTAGAAAATATAATTTGAAAACCTATAGGATAATTTTAAGACAATTCCTTTTTGGAAAGTTTACAGTCCACGTATAAAATTTAAAATTTAGTTCTTGGTTACTAATTCAATCCTTTTATTTTAATCTCTGATTCTATTTTTTTTCAAGTAAACTTGTTTTTCAAATCCGTCTAA